AGGAGGACAGAGCAGGACAGCATAAGTTTTTATCCCAATACTGAGAATGGCATGTAATTTAAAACTTATGAATTGTTTATTCCTGGAATTTTCCATTTAATATTTTTGGACTGTGGTTGACCACAGCTAACTAAAACTGTGGACAGTGAAACCGTGGATAAGGGGGGACTACTGCAGCTACTAAAAAGGACAAGGTAGCTCTATTGTTTACATGGAAAGGTTGCCGAGATATACTGTTATTTTAAAAAATTATTGGAGAGTGTATGTATAGTGAACCCAATTATGCAAAAAAATAGGATATAAAAATCCAAAGGGATAGACACTAAATCAGAAGTTCCCAAATTTTCTGAGTTCACAGCGTCCTTAGTGTCTCAGCAAGTTTTTCACTTGGGCCAAAAGAAATATCTAACAGTTTCATTTATTAGTGTTACGACCAATCAACTTAATATGTATTTATGTCCTAACACTTTAGCTGTTTGAAGCACACATAAATTAAAAGAAAAAAATAGTATTTTTATTTCATTCTTAAATAACCTCAATGTGCGCCTGTTGGGCACTGCACATTTTCTCAAAGTTTGGAATCAGATTGGACCGTACCACCCTCATTTTCTATCCCATGTTGATTTTTGCACAGTACTTTATTTTTATCATAGCAACTGCTCTGAAAACCCAGATCTGCAAAGATGTGACACCATTGAAAGGAATGTAATGCGCTTTAATGTTGAAACTGAACTATCTTAGTCTGGTAGTGTATGCAATATCTGATATATGTCAAACATCACTGTGTTACCCACAAAAATTTAGAATATCCTTTGGTAACCCTGGGAATCCCCTGCAGTGCCCCAGGGTGCCCTAGTGCAGTTTCAGAACCATTGCCTCAGACTATAACCAAAGATTCTTTTGGAAAATGAGATTAGGTTAGAGGAAGAGAGAATTTTCTTCTTTATGCACCTCTTGATAGTTTGAACTTTTTATAATAAGCATCTTTGACACTTATTACTTTTTATAAGGTTTTTCCATTTCAGGGAAAGGAGCCAGAAAAAGAGCAAAAGTGAAAAAGAATGTGAAAGTGATAGAGAAATGAAAAATGAAATAAAAAATTGTGCAGGCAAGGGGCAGAGTGTGTGAAGGCACACCACGCCAGATTTGTCCATGTGTTTCCTTCTGTAATTTTGAAAGTGGTCCACGTCCCTCTGGGCTTTTGTTCCTCAGCTATTAGGTAAACATGCTGGCTTCCCACACTGGGAAGGAGCTACCGGATGGAATTATTGCTGCCAGTTACTCCAGAAGAGCAAAGTGATGAAAATCACAGCTCCGGAGCCCTCTGCCTGGATTCAATCCCAACTCCGCCACGTACGAGGTCTGTGACCTTGGCAAATTCATTAACTCCTCTGTGCCTCAGTTTCCCCATATGTTCAACGGTGAGAACGTTTAACTGTTGAGGAGATTCAATGGAAAACACTTACTGTGTGATATGGCAATACAGAGTAAGTGCTAGCTATTATTATTGCTGCTGCTGTCTAATATGAAATAAGCAAATTGGGCCAACAAGTTCTTTTTCTCCAGCAATTGGAACTAAGAAATGGTGAGGGACTGTCCCAGTTATCATGACATCCAAAGGGTCAGAGAGAGGTCAGAGGGAAGCCACAAAGGATCCATGTACAAATCAAAGCTATAAGGAGACTGAAATCATGAATTAGCAGAACTTATTGGGATGTTACTTGAGGGACTTCTGTTCTAGTGATAAAAAGAGTCGAGTTAGGCTAGAGAATAAGGTAATCTCAGGATCTCATGAATATTTTTCTATACCCCTCCCACTCCCAAACTTAAAACATTGTTTTTTTACCTCATCTCTATGTCCCATAAAGCGATGTCGTCACTGATCCAAGGATTGGATGGCTCGGCTGGCGTTATAAAAGGGTCATATTCCACGTACTGTTCCG